TGAAGATATCCATAATTAGTTTGCTTGCCTTTTTGGTATTGGTTTCTGAAACTAAAAGCCCACAGAAGATTGTGTATCTTCTTGAATTTTTTTTTTTTTTTACTTTTAAGAAGCATTTATTCCAGGGAGGGTGACAAATCGGGGCCAGTAGAGATTATGTAAGTGGAACAGGCTTGGTTCTTCCTTCACTTATAGCGAAGCCAGTCTGTAATGGCAACGTTGAAATAGCTCCCACTGTCTTCTGGGATGGTCATCTCTCCTTTGCCTAAGGAACCCAGCCTCATCATACGTAAAGTATATGGTCTGGTGCTTATACCGACTGTGTTTCACATAGCAAAGTCTTGCTGCATAAGCAGAGCTTGGCCCGCCTCCTGGAATTTGCTGTCGAGCACTGGGTGGGACTGCGCTCTTTGCTGTCCAAGCTCACGGTCTGGTCTTCAAGGTTGGATTTATTACTGGTGGCTGGCCTTTGTAGTTCATTACATGATGACTACTCTGATCGCAGAGGATAACTGTCTTCTAGACCAGTCTCTGAGGGAACCTGCATTCCTTTCTTATCTACTACCAGCCTGATTTATGCTTTCAAAAATTAGTCCTTTATTTATTAGCATAGCAGAGCCAAAAGCCATCTCCAGTGCTTTCTGTTGCATATGCAAAATTCCACCACCCTTTACTTGCTTCCCTAGAGAGCTTCACTAGTAAATTCAGTCTCACACAATCAGATGCTGCTTCAAAGAGACTGACTTTTATAGTGGCCAGGCAAGAGTCCCCCCCAAGCAAGTGCTGAGGTTTATGAGCAACCTGTTATTTGATACCATGCCCCCAGCAGGGGGGTCCCATGGAGCTGTGTAGTGAAACACAAACTATTCCATGTGTTTAGTAGAAAGAATGTGCTCTGCTTTTCTGACCTTGTCTTGGACCAGTATTGCTCATGTGCTCCCAGGATCTCACCCACACTGGTATAAAAGTAGGGCTAAGTGACTCCAAAGGAGTTCTTTGGATTTACACTGAAGTGGCTGAGCTCTGTTTATGATGCTTCTTGAGCTAGTGAGGGGAGTACAGGGTCTGACTGAGTCTAATGAAGCCCTAAACCCTTGAAGTGAACAGTGCCTGCCTCATTGCTATCCGCAGGATCCAGACAAGCGCAAAAATAATAACAAGACTACCAACAGGCCCAGCTGGACAAGGACAACTTTGGCTTCAACTTAAAGGCAGCAGAGGCCTCTACACTGCTGGTGCACAGAGGAAGAGAATTATGTGAGCCAAGTGAAGCACAACAGGCAAAAGCTAAGAGGGAATGATGAGAATCAGATAGAGGGTGTTATCAAACAGCCCAAGAGAAAAAGACTGTCAGCATCTCGTGAGGGACCAACAAATCACTTGGAAGAGATAGGCTAATGCAGAGCCTAATCCACAGCACGATTAATAAAACCTGACAAAGCCAATGTATCACTGACCTGCAAACTTAACAACATTCAGACGCTGTGAAGATCAACCCTCAGGCAATAGAATTTATAGCATGGAAAACTTAAGAGAGCTAGAAAGGTAGCTGTAGTATATAGGAATTGGGTAGCATCTTTTTAAACAATTTGGAAACCAGCTAGTGGGCTATCGTATCATTTGTTGCTGAAGCCACCAAGGCTAAGTACAGATAGTCAAAAAGCCCAAGCCTGATTCAGCCTTTGCAGGTTAGTCTAAGATTTACAGATTAAATTGAAACAGAAGCCAACAGACATTTAGCTTTGATTCAGGAAATGCAGCCACATCCCTGTAGGGGCTCAAGCCAGAAGCAGGGGAGCGCTAGGGCAAGTTTCTCTGGCTGTGTGTTCACTTCCTCTTCCTGATGCCCCCGAGGTCTCTGGGATTTGCAGTCCAGAATTACAGCAGCAGGACTCTGCAGGGTTGCTGATGGCTTCTGGGATTTGTAGTCCACAGTTGCAGCCAGCAGTAAGTTCAAGCAAGGGAAAGGGTATTTAACCCCCCTCCCTAGCCCCAGACCCCAGCTGGGGTTTGCTTGGGGAGGGCAGTCCCTTTCCAACCCTCCACCCCCTCCCCATAGACTGAGCTGCATCCCCAAATGGGCTTGGCCCCCCTTGTCAGCCAGCCCTCGCTGCTCCAGCTTGAGAGCAGAGGAGCAGACACAGCCTAGCCCAGCCCAGCCCAGGGCTGGAAAGCATGCTGGGATGCTGTGGGACTGTGATTTACGTTGAACCAGGAAGGGGTCTGGGACAGAAGTTTCATAAACTGTTTTGACCCAAGTCAGCTAAGTCTGATACCCCATCCAACCAGGTTTATCTTAAACCAGTTTCAGCCATTTTGAAACTGGTTTATGTGCACATAGGTTCTGTTCTGTTACAGGTTTAAACCATGTTCTGATCACTTAAACTGATTTATGTGTAACTTCTGCCCCTAGCAGTAGATGGAAAACTAGGCCTTTTTTGTTGGTGTGTAGCCAGAAAACATGTTTGTTAAGAACCCAGCCGAATCCATGTGGTTTCCTCCTATTCAACACAATAGTCAGCATACTACAGGGGTTCATGGGGCAGTCACTACAGGGGGCATGAGAGAGTTTCCCTCCACAGGACAGGCTTTGCAAAAAGCAAAGATTTCCAAGTCCAAGTGAAAAGTTGGGCTCCTAACTCCATATTCTGCTTTTTCAGAAATGCTGCATTTTTTCTTGCCCTCTAGATGTCCTTGGGTTTCATTTCTGGGGTGCAGGGACATCCTCCTCCTTTATATTTACTGAGGGCTCAAGTATGGCAGACTTCACTGCTCAAGTAGTCCATTGAAATCCACAGATGACACCACACCCTTAACAAGGAGACAAATGATTAGGACATAAGTGGGGCTCTAGCCCATCTTTTCATTGCTGCCCAGGGTAGCTGGTGAGTACATGAGATGAAATACATTGCTCACTCTGAAGCTTCAGGGAGGAGTGTGCTTCCTTCCTCCAGATTGTCCTGTAACTGCGGCAAGACATTACAGTCCCCATTACATTGACCATGGGTGTATGTGGGTGACTGATGTTTCATCCTCTGCTGAGGGGCCAGCATCAGGCCCCACAGGATGTGTAAATCCTCAAGATGACTTTTGTGGGGCTGTGGTGATGCCCAGGCCTCAGCACAGAGGGGATTTTGCCCACTGGTCCTGACTGTGCTCACATTCAGACTGCTTTTACATTGGAGTGCCTCCCCCAGTTTCCTTGGAGCTACTCAAGATTTGCTTTGGTGTTTGAGTGGAGGATCAGGTCTGGGGTATTTCCTTTTCAGGGGCCTCAATGGAAATCAGTGGGTGTCTTTCCAGTGATTTCAGCAGGCTTTGGACTAGATTCAAGTAAACTCAGTCCTACAAAGTATTTCACAGACTGTGCTCAATGCCATGTTCCTAGCTCAAGCAAGGGTCCCATGGAAGTCAGCAGGAGCCAGGTACGCCCAGTTGAGGCACACAGCATCAGGCCCTGTATGTTATTTATTACAGGGAGGGATGAGTTGGCATAACCGCAGAATAGAGATAAACAAGGGAAGACATTTTGATCAGTTTAAAAAAGAAAATTTCTAAAGGGAAAAAGAAGAAAAACTCAGAGTTGCCAACGACTGTAAAACACACAAATTATTCAATCTGTGCTTCACAGACAAGACATTTTTGATTCCAAGGCAAAGAAAAATAGGCAAGACTTCAAGCTACAAGCCAGAAATATCATGTAACCGGTAACAGGCTTTTATTGACATAGGAAGTGGGATGGTTTTGATAAAATAAGAGCCCGTACAAACAATTTTCTTTCCCCATAACTCAGACTGAAGCACTGCGTGGTTTAAAAAAAGAATATGTTTATTTCCACCTCCCATGCCCCCCACTGTTTTTTTTGCATATTTGGTTCTCAAGCAGACAAAGAGCGCGGTGATCGAAGGACTGATAGTTTGTAGGTAAGCACAGCGCTGGGATTTAAGCTTCTTCTTGCTTAAAGGGGTCAGACACCCACAAGATGCCTCTTGCTTAAGCTCTCAAACTAGGGCTGAGCTAGGAGCCTCTGACCAAGCTATAAGCTCAGTGCTGGTCTCCTGTGCACTGAGGAATTTCATCGTGAAGTAACAGTGGTACATAAGGAACAAGGGGGCACAGACAGTCTTGCAAGGTGCTTTAGCTGCAGATTTCCACGTATGTCCATGCAGTTGGCCCTTACTGAAAACCAGAAATGCCTGAGAGCTCATCCTGTGTCTGTTCCAGTCCTTTCCCTTTGTGGTGTAGGCAGAACCTGCTTCCACGGTTGCTGAGCCCAGGCCACAGTACAGGTAGCCCCTCTGTAGTGAAATTAGGCTGTACTGGCTGGTTTTGACTGCAGGTCAGGAGAATGCACAACCTGCCTGTGCAGGCATATTCATGGCAACAGCTTGACTCCTGTGTCTTTTCTACTACCAGGGACTCCTGTATTCTTAACCAGAGATGGACTTGCACTGAAACCACAGGTCCAAATAATTTTGTAGAAAGGCCAAAGGGTGGGAAATGTCCCCAGGTCTGAATCCCACAGGCAGCCATGCTTATTCCTTGGGTTTAGACCTGAGGTATTCTCTGAAAGACCCGCAGTTCAGGAACTCACTGTCTTCTCGAGTTTGTTCAGCCTAAAAGCACATCCCAGGCCAACTCCTCCTTTAGCCTCGGCATTGGCCAGTGCCCGGCAGAGACATAGTCTCTATGCATTTCTGTCATTCGGGATTGCACTGAGAAAGTAGGATAGCAATGGCATAAATGTATCTTTATTAGGAGCCAAACCAAGCTGCTTTTGAAGGGCTATTTAGATTTCTGTTTGGATTTAAAGTTTTCCCCTTGGGTGCAACCTTTGACCTAGAGTTCTGTCTGGCCAGAAAAAGATCTCACTTCATTTCACTTGTCTTTAAACTAGCCCTCAGCACAGCCCTATTTGGCTGGTTTATATGTGCATAAAAGTGGAAAAAGTTAATATCAAGCAGTTTTCTTCACACCCTTCTTCCTCCTTCTTCCTCAAGTCTCTGCCTTCCACCCCCCACCTCGGCTCTCACCTCTCCAACCAGGAACTACAGAGCTGTTTATGTCTGCCTTGCTGCCTGCTTCTCATTAAGTGTCCAGCGAACTAAACCTTCCCCGGGGCTGCCAAGTTGTCAGAGGCAGGTGATGTAACTCTGACGCAGTGGGTGGTATCTTCACAGCCGGACTAAATAAGAATTGGATTTGGAACGCCCAGGCACGTGCACACCGTGGCCCACTGCCTATTGCACTCTTCCAGCGTGCTGGTAGGAATCATCCCTCTCTGCCTTCACTATGTATGTGTGCATCATAGTTTTCACATTTTTTTGAAGGAAAAGGAGAAAAATGATACCCATGCAAGTCACCCAGCTGCCTTTACTCCATGTAGAAAGCAGCCACCAGGGCAAGAACTAAAACAGTGCTTCTCAGTCAGGACACTGTCACCCTGCGGGGCCTGGAGATCCTTTCAAGGGTGCCATGGGGTGCCACACAATGTTAGCATTGTTAGGTGTTCAGATGCAATTCACAAGTTAAACCCAGAGTTTTCACATAGTAATCCATAGTGTTGACCTGTTGTGAGCTTTCTGAATTCTTGACAACAGAAGAATTGCTCTTTTATTTTTCTGCAGTCAACAAAGAATGAAAACCAAGAACTGGCATTTTCCAAGGGGTTCACCAAGTCTGTCAAGTGGTGCCTTGAAATATCAAGAGGTGCCTCAAGTCTAAGAAGGTTGAGAACCACTGAACTCAATTTACTGCTTACAAGTAAAACTGTACACAGGTATGGCTTTTATTTGGCCCATATGATATCAGATGATGTGCTGAGAGAGGATGCTTTTGGGAAATGGAAGCACCAATGTTATCTGGTCTACATCACATGGGTGATGGAATTAATAATTGTGGCTTCAACTGATGTCTTTTCTTTCACTGTGTACTACTGCCCATGCACATCTCTGCCCATTCTCCCCATGAGCAGAGCTAGTGGGCAGCATTTTGCTCTCAGAGTGGCTACAGCATGTTGCAGAAGAGATGCTCATGTGTGCTCTCCTCCTGGAGAGGTTGCTTTTGTGGTGGTCTTCTTTGGTCTGTGCATTTCTCATGGCGTGGGGAAAGATCACAATGATGCCAGTGGGCCTGCATCATTATGGTGGGCAATGGGCAAGAGTGCTTTAGCCATTAGCTTTGAGGCCTGGTCTTGATTTACTAAGATGTGCATTTGTGCATTCCAGTTTGGAAAGGGGAAGTTCATTAGAAAGATTAATCTTTTGTTACTTCCAACTCTCATCCCACAGTATGTCTTGCTATTTACTGCTGGATCTGTTGTGTGGAATATTCTGCTTTGTCTGCAGTTGAATACTCACATTGGGTGTTGTGTTAACAGAGTTGTTTGTGTTCAGCTCCCTTGGTTTGCTTATTTTTTTTAAATGACATTTAAAAGAGAAAAAGTGCAGGGAAAGGGGAAGAGGTGTATGAAAAATCAGTACTCTGTGGTTTCAAGCATACATGATATTAGAATGGAATAAGTACACTGAAAATATTTACAAATTCAATGAAGTGCCTACATGGAGACAGAATCTGTGATGTGGGATTCAGGCGCACGCAGGAAGTATGTTATTTTTAATGCTCTCCCATGCATGTATACTCTAATTTTGCAGGACTCTCAGGAGTTTCCATTTTGTTGTGCAAAGTTCCAGCCATTGGCATTTGGTTGCATAGGTGTGCATTGCTTCTGTCATCTTATCCACCCCGACCTTACTGTCACAGAGTCATGGCCTGAGTGGTGGAGAAGGTCAGTCTAGACCAGCGTTTCTCAACCCCTGGGTCATGACCCAAGAGTAGATCACAAAAATATATGAAAGAGTCACAAACAAACTTAAAAAATGGATCAATAAACTTTAAAAATGGATTCTCCTTTAAAGGAGAAGAGCATGAGAAACTGTGGCGTTTCCCTTGCAGGCTGGCAGAGATCCAGCCTGCGAAGGCCTAATGGGGGCCCCTATGCCCCACACACTAGCAGGCTGGGTCGGGAGTGAGGGGCACTGGGTTGGGACTGACCATTGATGTTTACATGTGTCCTGGTCCAAAAAAGGTTGAAAACCACTGATCTAGACAATGAGCTGCCTCTAGCTTTACAAACGTCTATTAATTCAGCTGCTTTTCAGGGCCAAAGCCACCCTGCTGCATGCAATGGTGCACTTATGTGTCCATACTGACATACTATCCAGGGAGACTCACGTGGCGCTCAGGTCCCCATGAGTAGTTAGGCACATAAGTCCTATTTACGTGCCAATTTACCACTAAAATAGGAGGCTCTTGGATTAAATGACTTGCCCTAGGTCACACGGTAAGTCTGTAGCAGAGCAGGAGACAGAGCTCCCACCTCCAACCCAAGCACTGGCTCATCCTCCCTGTTACAAACTCTGTTGTAGCCACGAGCTCGCGGTGCCTCTCCGACCTGCCGTTGTCTTTCAGCTGTGGGCTGTCACCTGCCTTCGCTGCAGCACCCTGTTCCCCTCGCAGAGGTTACGCTGAGCCCCCCCGCCTCCTGGCATCGGGACAGATCACCCTCTGTTGAGGAATGTGTAATATTTCCCATTTCCTTTGCTCTTAGCTGCCTCAAATACACTGTCTTTTGTAACTCTTCTAAAGGGCAATTATACAGCTGTGAGCTGCCTGAGGCCAGTAAATCGTAGGGCCTGGAATTATGTTCCCCGCTACCTTTCTGACAAGCATGAGACTTTTACTGCTTTCCTTCAGTTAGTTGCTTTCCCCCTCAAGGCTTTTCACACCCCAAAGAGTGTCAGGATTTAAGACTGGCCCCCACAGCTCCAAGAGACACTTTTGGTTTTATTCCTTCATCTTTCCACAAACTGTTTTGTTCAGCGGTGGGAGGGGGACCGGGGGCTTTGCGTGACATTACAAGGGACTGTCTGAGCAAAGTGACTCACGCTATAGATCTATAGATTAAAGAAAGGGTGAGGGGCAGGTGCCAAAATGGTGGTGTCACTCACAAAAGCCACGGCCGGGACTTGGATTTAGCAGCACAAGTGTTTCCATTCCCAGTGACTCACTCGCTTGGCTGCCCTCATGCGCTGGAACAGCTTGGCACATGGAAAAGCAAAGGAGCTGCTAGTGATGTAAGCTCGTGTCCCACTCGCAATGCCTTCCTAGGGTGCCTGCTAAATGGGTGATAGAGAGAGGTGCTTTCCTAGAGGGTCCAGGTTTCTGTTCATATTTGTATAGCGCCTGGAGAAAAAGTTCCTGGACTATAGGGCTGAGATATAGAAGAGCTGCATGTTCTCCAGAGCAGTAGGAGTCGGATACCCAGTGGTGCCTGCAAAGAGCCCTTAAACAAAGAGGTAATCAACTAGAGCAGGGGGGGAAACAAGAACAACTCTTTTATGGAAGTGTATTTCATTTTTAATGAAAACATTTTATGACATTTTCAATTAAAATTTTAACTGAAACTCCCCATTTCATCCCCTTTGAACCAGCAGGCAACAGATTGAGATGTCAAAAATATCCTTTGAAATTAAAACATGCACACTTTGTCCATCTCGCTAATATGCACCTGGTCACTCTGAGCTCTTACATTTCTAGGGGTATTCACGTGATTAAGGATTGTGGGAATGAAGCTCATAACCTTAAATGGGGATTTTGCCTGAATAAGGAGTGGGATCGTAGCAGACAGTCATGGTTCCAGTAGGGTTTCCAGCAAAAGGCAATCCAACCGCATGTTATACACAACCCACCCCTGTTGACACTGTCTGAAAACTGCTTTTCCATATCGTACTAATTAAAATGACTCCTGAAGAATACATCCCGACAGGACCTAACTTTCTGCTGAGGAGTGTAGTTGCTTGAAAACTTGCAAGGGATGGTAATGAAATACTTATTTTCTGTGAAATCTCCAAAAATGTATATATATTTTTATCATTATTTAACTGGGGGGTTTTTTGGATGAACCAAACCCAAACCAAAAAATATTGGTTTAAAAATTATGAACAGTCTCAGTTCACAATAACTGGAACATTTGCACTTTGGGCTTGTCAATTTTTTTTCTTGGAGACATGTCCTTTCACTCTCTATTTTCATACCTTTTTCCATAAGGGAAAATATGGTAAAGGGAAAGGGGGGAATGAAAACCAAAATATTATTTTATTCGTTAAAAAACTAAAAAATATTGACCAAACACACACACATACACACGCACATATATATGAAAATCTGATTTAAATCAAAAAGTAGTTTATTTATCAAAATTGCTTCAGCTATAAGTTTTCAAACAGCTCCACCTCTTGCACCTGTCTCTTTTAAACCGCATCTCCCTTTGATGCTCCCCTGTGCGTGCCTCTTAGTATTTCTTTTGCCGATGCATAGGAACCTCAGTAATGGAGAAGAGCTCCATTGTGCCGGGTCTGTGCAGGCACTGATCCAAAAATGGTCCCTGCTGCAAAGAGCTTGCAATCTCATTAGCTCTGAGCGAGTCCAGACAATTACATCTCGATCTATACAGCAACTCTGCCCATCCTCTCAGTGACTCCCTTATACACAGAGGTAACAAGTATGGAATGTTTTTAGGAGCTAGATTCAATAACTGAAGGTCACAGTCTTTGGTTAATAACATTTGCAGGAATTTTGCAGGTATTAGATTAGACGTGGGGGAGGGAAGGAGAGAAGTCTTCAGACTTTCCTCCTGAATAAAACAGCAGCATCTTCAAAACACTGAGGCAACAGCTACAAATTGGGAAGTAAGAAAGCTGCTGAGATGGCTCCCCACTATGTTCCAGTCCTGTCGCTCAGCATGGCTTCATTATTTTCAGTGATGATACTAGTCGACGGGCTGGCTCATTGACTTCAGTGGAAGTTCAGTATGAATTCAGTATTACTGAGCAGTGAATCAGGCAACATGATTTCTCCCAGAAGCCATTAACAAGACTGTCGGGTCTAAATTCAGTTCTTAGAGCTACAGGTTATAGGACAAATTCTGTTGATAGTGGGTGTGTCTAATACGTTCATTAATGTGCAGTAGTTCCTGTGCATTTAATTTAGTACTTGCTTAATGAAGTGCTAACTAAATATGCAGTAACTGAGTTACTGGGCAGTAGCAAAAGCCTTTTTA